CATCGAAGAGGAGAGGAGGAAACATTCGAAACCGCCAGATTTAATTTGCAATAATATTTTTTTTATTGCAATTATTTTAACAAATTTTCACTCGATACTAACTGGTTATAGAGTCCTTAATGGTACAATGTAACCTAGAAAACGTTTATTCATTCTTAATCTTGAAAATTCCCAAATTGTAGTAATCATTTATACGTGGTAGAGCCATGCTGCAGCTATATTAGTAGTATAGTTGTACAAATGGGTCGGCTCTACCAGGGAAGGACCACGTTCTCACAGAATACCAGCGTAAAATGGCACTTGACACTGCTGTGTTTCGTATGGTGAGTGTAGAGAACCGGAGACCCATTTTACTGGAAAAGAGGCATTCTATCTTAGTCCTCACGGGTGACGACGCATCTGCATTTTGATTCTTTATTCAGGATAAATGTAGATGTCTATGGGTCACAGCAAGCACTTACCATCACGTGGACTGTGTGCTCGTTTGTCACCCTATCCTATAAAAAAAATCAGGGAAGTAGTGAGTAAGTAACATTGACGCCGGATGTCAGATGTGGCAATACAAGCACATAAATACGTCACCCTGTAGTGGCGGTCTAAGAATATCTACTAGCCCATTCGTCGTGTGGGTATCGTAAGAGGCGACAGATGGAATCTGATACATGTGATTGGCAGCAGCATCGTCCTCATAACAACTCAAAATAATAAAAAAACCTGGCAACTATAACAAAGTTCCCCAAAATAAGGAAATCTATGGGCGAGACCTATGTTCAGCAATAGACTTTTATAGGCTGTCATGGATGTATGGAAGGTAAATACATGGAACAACCTATGACCAGTGAATTGTTTTGACAAGTTGATGACTATTAAAACAAAAACTTAACGTCTTTTACAAATAACTAAAGTCACCACAGACAGAACTGAATACTTGTGAATGAAATGTAATCATGGAACTGGCAGCCCATTCCAAGAAATCATCATTAAACGACCGTGACACTGAATACCGATAAAATCGGAGATAATGACTCCACAACTGACTGCGTTTACAAGCAAAAATATATTCTCAATGGCACAGTATAATTAAAATCCCTCCCTTCCGTAAAGATTTAAATACGTTATTCTATTACGTGTAATATACACAGAAATCTTCATAGCAATCAGTTATACCTTAAAACCTGCAAACAAGATTCTACAACCAGTGCGTGTTGCCAGTGATGACTTATGGATCTGAGACGTGGTCCTTCACAGCTTACCGTATGAGGAAGCTCAAGTTATGGAGAGGGCTATGCTCGGGGTTTCTCTGCGTGATAGACTTAAAAATGAGGATATCCGCAATAGAACCAAAGTAACCGATACAGCCCAACGGACGCTGAAGTGGCGATGGGTTGGCCATATTGGTCAAAGAACCAACAACCGATGGGGAGGAAAGGTTCTCGAATGGCAGCCTCGTATCGGTATGCGAAGTTTAGGGCGTCCCCACTAGATGGAGCGACAACCTGGTAAGACATGCAGGAAGTGGCCACTGTAATACATGATCACCTGGTAACTTCAAACACAGAAGACCGCTGTAAGCTATAGGATTTCGGCCGTTAAACGAAAAGGGGAGATCTCCCGCCGGGCAAGGTGATCGGCCCGGGGAGTGGCCAACACACTCGTAAACTTCATAACTTTGGTAGCGCGATTTAGGCATCGTTGCGTTTCGCTTACAGCACGATGACAGCGCCGCCACGGGATTAAGATGTAACGCCTCCCAGACTACAATTATACTGGTTTCCTTACCTTTTAAACCGAAATACAGCAATGTGTACACTGCTATATACGGTAGAAATAGGTAAGAGAACCAACCCAGGCGGATTCCTAGACATCAAATACTCTATTAGTTTCTATGTCAACTATACTTTAGTACTTATATTCTGATAGATTATTGCACTTATTGTAAATTAAGTAGACACTCACTTAACTAAACACGTCCACTCTCGCCCGAGGCTCTCGTGTAACTGCATGGTAAATTATTAGTAAATAAAACAAATAACAATATTTACTGTATACTACATATATGCGAACACTACATCTCTTTCTTATCAAGATTTTTTCTTTTTTTCATTATAACTCATAACAATCACAAAGCAGCTTGTATTGTCTGTATTAATTATTTTCCACTGCTTTTACGTAAACCTTATCTCCCTGTATTATATCTGAGTGAGTTGCTGCTTTGACAGATGTATCAGTTAGTTATTTTGTAACCGCCAGTAAGTAAAGAAGTGATTAGGATAACTCTGTCAGTTTGTAAAGTAATTATAAAGTATATACATACCAAGAAAAGTACCGTTTATCTGCGGTTAGTCGCACCTAGTCTATCCGCCATCCACAATAGACATGTTTTCTATTAAAGTTTTGAAAGGAAAGTTGAAAGTTAAAGTGTAATATGTTTTCACTACCAAAACATTAGAGTACGTGGATTCGAATAAGTTTGCGGATAGAATATTATTTGCTTATTTTTTTATTAGAATGGTTCGCAAAATTCGAGTGTGTAAAACTTCGACTTTATGTAAATTAAGGATGAATAATGTCCTTGGGATATTACTAAGAATTTTTCAAAAACTTGCATCAAGCGCTATAGTAGTAAGAACTGTTTTAAAAACAAAAATTAAAAGTGTGACATTGATATAGGTATCAAAGAACAATGGCAGAAAAATAGTTGACAAAAATTAACGCGTCTAGAAATAATTTGAGTTTTATTATTTTTCTATGATTTTTCAAATAAAATGTATTTTAATCAAGGCCACAAAATACATTTTTGGTAATATCAAATGACTTAAATCATTTTACTCTATTCAACTGTTGCCATTTAGTATATTCATACTATTTTCGTATACGCTTTGTAAGACTACCAACACAACACACAAAATATTTTTATATTAACTTATTATTATAATATAACTGTAATAACTGTACTATCAGTAATAATAAAAATAAAAGTGATATGGCTGAGAATAAGTCTCTTACAAAGAATTTCCTACAATAATACATTATCTCAATCTACTATGTAACAATTCTATTTAATGTTATGCCAACACTAGCTAAAACAAAATGTCACTGTTTTTTTTTACTGGCTTTACGGCTTTGGGTTCTAGCCCTTCTGAGAATGTCACTATAACACGAAGGCACTGGAGCCATGCCAGAAATATACATTTATAGTATGCAAATATATAATAGAGATACAATAATCTAAAAACTCTCAATTATGTATTATGTATTAAGGTAACTTCAAACAACCACAGGAAGCATGTCTTTTTCCAAGTGACATAGGTCATAATCTAAAAAGGTTCAAATCTAAATATCTTTTTTTGACGCCTTCTCATGACAAAATTCATTGACAGAGTTATTAAGAGACTGACGCTTAAGATTTTAAGATATTTTTGATATATAGACGCTAACATTTCTTCTCAACTAAATTTATGTATGAAAGTCTGCCTTTGTTCTGGCTTTCTGTTCTGCCTTGGTTTCTGGTTCTGATGGAAAGGACAAAAACGAGTATCAATTGTAATTTGATATATACTTGGTATAGACTAATTCCCTTAATTGATTAGCCTTAATATACATTCGCTGATAAAGGATAAAGGAGAAAGAAACATACTAATCATTTTCTGATAATTTCTTCTTGAGGTCAACAGCGTAAAAGATTTCCAGGTTCTGAGTGAACTTGAATTTAATAAAAAATGTACGTGTAACACAGTGAAACTTCTTTACGACATATCATTCTTATTCTATTTTATATTTTACATAAGTAGATTAAATAATGGTATACTCATGTAGCCCTACATACAAAAGTTTAACTTCAAAATTATCCAAAGCTTAACCATAATTACTGCCAATATCTCGCAACTCATTGCAATAGTTTTGCTATATAAAGTTACTTCTGAAAAATCTGATTGGGAGACAATTGAAGAACGACATGATTGCAGAACCACGAGTGCACCAACTACGTCAGTGTTTATGAATGAACGACCCCAGACGCAACGTGTCGGTCATTAAATGCAAATTCTTTATCGTAACATCTGCTTAATTGCTTTTGATTATAGGCGCAAAATCGCTTACATCCGACGTACGCATCTAGTTGCAAGGTGAATCGTAACATCTTCATGAACACAATGTGACATAGTTGAAACAAAATTGTTTAAATATGTTAGGCTGCAGCTGTAGCGGGTATGGCTTGACTGGACTGAGAAAGAACAACGCTCGCAAAAAAAAATACTATTGTAATATAATCGTAACAGTATGATGATGCTGTGATTGGTGATTCGAGAACCGGAAACCCTTTTTAATGGTAACGAGGTATATTGAGGTTATCAGGGATGACAACGTATCTGAATTTTACTAGACAAAATAGATATAAGTGACTATGGTTACAGAATCAACTAAACATCAGGTGGATTGAATACTAGGCTTGTCACCCTTGTATAAAAAATAAAAATTTTATTACTTTAAGCTTCTTTTAAGCTTCAAAGGGGCTCTTTTATAAATACATACTTAGAAAGTAGAGCACTTTATTGATAACACAGTGTCAGTTTTTCGTAAATTATTTAAGTTAGCCAAGAAATTGTCTAAAACTTTGAGGAACTAATGAACAAGTATATATGTGTCAAAATGTTTAATTTCAACAATGAGAAACGGACGTATACCGTTTCTAAAGTACATATAAGTCCGCAACTCGTGGGCGAATTTTGACAAATTGTACAAAACTTATTAAGATCGGCATAAATAAATATCAGCGAAAATTATCTTCCAACACTTGAAACCTAAAATGAGGTGAATACATTCTAAATATGAAGTATATTCTATAATTTGTAAACAAAAAAAAATCTTAAATTAGGTATGTACAGTATTTGATTGCTAATATTTCTTCATCTACAATACTAATTATTCCTTCACGTATATTACTCATCTTAGGTTAAAGATCTAAGCAAAATTTAACAGTTCAAATTAGTGTTAATACTTACTCTTTCTTATTGTTGACTACAATGACTAGCTTCACTTTCCGAGGGCCCTTGGTCATTTTGCATATGTCCTTGGTATTGTCCGACGGGCCCTGGCTCAGAATTTTTAACAGAGGAATGTTTCCGTACTTATATCACTACAGCCAAAAGGCCGGTCTTAAGGTCACCTCACAGTCATTTTCACTTTAACAATCCACTTTCGCTTCGTGAACACATGGTACTTTAATTAACAAACCCTTAAATATATCACTTTTGTCCATGAATACTGCAATCACTCACTTTGAGCACTGATTAGAAACACAATGTTCGTTCTCCAGACGATTAGCTGTTGAAAATGTTTTATCAGTTGAGATTTGGTTTAAGCCGATTAACATTGAAAACGTAACAAATGATCGATGCAACTGTGACGTTTATAGAACTTTAACAAGATTTTAGAATTGTTTAACGTTCACTTGAAACTCCGACAAAAAATGGAAACCGACAGTCGCCAGGTTGTGTAAATTTACACAACTATCAAATAAAATGTAGATAAACGAGATATTGCTATCGGAGATGAAGAGAACGACTCGATAAACACGAAATATAAAACTGGAGCGAATGTTGCCCCGATAAACTAGTTGAACAATTGTTTCTTTATTGTTGATGAGAATATTCAGAATGCAAATCTAGATGCTAAAACGTTACATAACGAAGTTAATATAAGTGTTAAAGGTAACAGTAGCGCTCCTAGCGACAGTTGTTATCAAAATGGCAAGTTTTAGCGTATCATCGAAATAACGTCAAGATGTTCGGATGATGAATGATGATGTAAAGCGACACGTTCCTGATAGTTAAGATAACGTACTATCATCTTAGCCTCGCATCGCTCGCAACATGTCATTATAGAACCAATTGTCAAATATTTATGCGACGCTTGTGGAATTTTGGTTACACGAGTCTTCATTAAAGCACCACTCGCCAAATAAACCGTTAATTAACTTGTTATCTCAATGTTTGCTTTGTCACTGAGACGTTTGTGAAATTATACTTTTGTTTTACGTCAGTAATATTATCATTATATGGTGTAGCTAGTGAGATTGTTGAGACAAATCACAGTATGAATATAAACGATGACATGTTTAAGAAAACACGTGAACCTACCTAAATCTGAAAAGCAAACTTTAAACTGCTTCATTTTATTATTCAGTTGTCACTTCTTTAGATAATTCTTAAGTTAATGATAATTGTAAAAAAGAAAATTAACAATTATTCCGCTTATGTGAAATACTCCCAGTTAAACCTAGAGTTGAATATTTAATATATATTTTTTATAGGATAAGGGTGACAAACGAGCACACAGTCCACCTGATGGTAAGTTGTTGTTGCAGCCCATAGACATCTACACTTCTAATCTCGATTAAGAATCAAAATAGTTTCCAGTTAAAAAGGGTCACATCAGCATTAAGCTGCTCTTATACGCTGGTATTTTGTGAGAGCGTGGTCCTTCGCCCGTCGAGCCAATCCATTCGTGCTATAACCATAATAAAGCTGCAGCATGACTCTCCACGCATGGTCAGAAAGAAAGTCTAAAATTGCTAGTGCGACTAATTTATATGAAGAAGATTTGCATATAAAGAAACTTAGAACAAATTCATTCTAAGTATCTATATTTTTAACGTAACAAAAGGTTGAGAGAAACACCTCCACACAATAATAGAGTGTAAGTTATCTATATTAAAGTTCGCTCTAAAAATCATTTTTTACCTAATAATGAATATATTGTATTGTTTTTATAATTAAATTTAAATTTCATGTCACAGTGATTTACCAATAATTAGAATTAGCTTCACTGTCGAAATATCTACAAATTACCATTGTATCAATCACAACGCTATCTTTATGACGTAATATATTTTATTAAAATAAATGGTGCACAGCAAAACGTCGCTAGTTGAGAATGAAAATGAACAAAACCATGTGACAAACGAGTACACAGTCCATCTGATGGTAAGTGGATGCTGTGGTCTATAGAAATCTGGATCTATCCTCGATTAAGAGCCAAAATTCATATGCGTTGTCACCCCTGAGTCGTTAGGCCTTGAGAGTGAAGCCTTCCTGTTGTGAGAAAGGGTCATGTTCAGCAGTGACACTGTTACAGTCTTATAAAGGGGTGTAAAGACAAATATTATGTTTTCATAATAATAAAATTTCATACATCTATTTACTACAGCTTTTGAAGAAGAAGATATACATGGTTAAGTTCGTAAAGAAGGTTCAGAGTAAGTAAAGTAGACGAATGGTGAAGAAAAATTAATGAAATAAAATCTCTAACATTCTGTCGTTTTTATCTTTTAAATTCAAAATGCGTGATAATGCATTATTTTAACTGATTTTACTGCGCACGCACACATTCGTAGGGGTCGATCGGTGGGCAAAAACATTGTTGGCCATAAATCACATTCAATTTGGGACTGGCAGATAGCTGAAGTTATAAGGAGTAACTTAGTCTACTTGAAAAGGGTTCCGCGCAAAGAAAATATTCTTTTAAATTATAAAAACACTTGTTTTGCAGCCATACGGTTAATGAAGTTTAAACTTATTTCTTTCTAACTTTTTATTGATATAGTTCGGTAATTTGTTAAATATTAAACACATACTATATTATTTTTTCTATAAAAATAAATATGAGAAGGAGGTTGGTGTAATAGGTTCAAATATTGACTCATTTGCTGTTCAGTATGAATATATTGTATACTCTTGAAAATATTCTGGGTGCCGTTTTACAAAATAGCAATCTTGCCTTGTATACATACACGGTAAGTAAAGAATTTTATATTTTTTAAATGATGGTTTGTAATTATCCATAAACTACTAACCGTAACTATAAACCGTATACATTCGTTTAACACCCAGTTTTACGTGCGAAGATATGCCTGCAGCACAAATGGGTCGGTTCGACCGGGGATGGATGACTCTCGCATACCAGTGTAAACCCACAGCATAATACTGCAGTGTTTCGTATGGTAAGTGACGAGAATGGGAAGCTACCGTCTCGGTCCATTAAGGGTAAAAAACCAAATGCGTTTTTATTGGTGGACAATGATCAATGTAGATGTCTATGAGCCACATCATCTATTTATGTGGTGGTGTGTATGCTCGTTTGTCACGCTTACAAGAGCAAATCCAAGTAAAACATGATAGCTGCCACATGTTTGACCACAATCCCATCTGTTGGTAAGTGATGATGAAGCCCTGATGGTAAATTGCACTCTTTTGGCGTTATCGAAGCCTATTCACTCTTGCCTTGAAGACGCTGTAATTGCAAGCGGACGGAACGACAGACATCGACCACATATTTAACGTTAAATGAAAACAGATCAAATGAGACGAGGCCTAAGCCGTGCAGTGAAATGTGTTTAAAATGTTTTTTTTATAGGATAGGGTGACAAACGAGCACACAGTCCACCTGATGGTAAGTGGTTACTGTGACCCATAGACATCTACATCTATCCTCAATAAAGACTCAAGATGCAGATGCGTTGTCAGCCGTGAGGACTAAGATGGAATGCCTCGTTACCATACGAAACACAGCAGCGTTAAGCTGCTATTTTACGCTGATTGTCTGTGAGAGCGTGGTCCTTCCCCAGTCGAGCCGACCCATACGTGCTACAACTATACTACTTATATAGCTGCAGCATGTCTCTATCACGATCCAATTTCACTTCAATTAACATAAACACATAATTCTACATTGTCTAGCATAATGAATGTAATAAAATTAAAAATGACAGTATACCTTTCTGCACTAATATTTGCATGATACCTATACCTAACAAAGTAAAGTTTACGGGTGTTACATGCTAAATGCGAATGTAAGTACGAGTATTACATTGTTCAATTGTTCGTCTGTGGTGAAAAAGTATTCCAAATTTATTTTTCCATTAACGAAACGTCATTCATCATCATCATCATGACAGCCCGTCACAAGTCCACTGCTGAACATAGGCCTCACCCAGGGAATACCACTAAAGCACGGTCCTAAGCCACCTGCATCCAATGTCTGTATGTCTACCAGAGCGTCACTCCATCTAATAAGGGGCGCCCTACACTTCGTCTTCCGGTACGAGGCTGCCACTCAAGAACCTTTCTTCCCCATCGGTTGACGTTTTTTCGAGCTATATGACCCAGTGCCACTTCAGCTTACTAATCCGTCATTATTCAATATTAATTACCTGTCATTAATCATTAAATATGAAACTTAACTGATTCTAAATTAAACGTCACTAATAGCATATGTATACGTATTGACGATTACTTTTCAAGGAATTGAATCAACCACTTCGAGGCCGTCTTTCACTACACTGCGATGACATTACAGACAAACTCGTCTATACCTTAACGGCCTTATTGGGCGTTACTTTATAGGAACCTCCTAATTTTTCTAGACTTTAGTTTATAATTTGTAGAAGTTTCTTTTTTATAGAATAAGGGTGACAAACGAGCACACAGTCCACCTGATGGTAAGTGGATTCTATAGCTCATATACATCTAACATCTATCCTCAGTTAAGATTCAAAATAGAGATGAGTTGTCACCCCTGAGGACGAAGAAGAAAAGCATCCTATCCAGTAAAAAGGGTCTCCGGTTCTCTACACTCACCATACGAAACACAGGAGCATTAAGCTGCTATTTTACGCTGGTATTCTGTGAGAGCGTTGTCTTTCCCCGGTGGATAGGACTCATTCGAGCTACATTTATAATCTAGCTGCAGCGTGGCTCTACCACGTATTGTAGAAGTTATTCGTAACTTCATGTAGAAACTATTTAAATTTTAGCAAACGCAACTGCAACAATCAAAATAAATCGAAACGATAAGCAACAAATATGAATAATTGCAATAGATACAATCAACAATAGTAACCTGCTTTTTACTGATATGACGTATACACAATGTATTTCTACATAAAGTTTATAATAAGGAAATCTAGGTTAAGAAAACATTGTCGTAAAACGTATTGTTGGCACTTGGTGTAACTTCATCTTCATTTGCTATCATACGAGCAATATTTATTATTGTATT